ATTCAAGCCCCCTGGATTTGACCCTGGGATTACAAGAATTCAATGCTTATGAAGCGGGTCTGTTAATCTTCGTTAATTTTACAGAAACGAGTGATGAAGATTTTAGCACAAGGGACCCATGAATGGGAGAAGACAGTGAAAGCAATTTTGCAGGGATTAATAAAAAAGGCTGTGCAACAACATTACAGTGGTTTGGGTCGTAAGGTACACGGGGTTGGGAAGAGAAATTTTAGCGCTACTATATCTTTTCTTTGCATGAAAGGTGTGTTGACTAAATTTCGCTTTTGATATCTTGCACGTTACATTTGTCTATTTATTTCGATTTCAAATTTATCCTTCAAATTTATATGAATGTCTTTTCTAAACGACTGAATTTTTAGCTCTCAAATTTAAGACTAATTTTCCATTGCAGACGTAATTGAGCAAATGTACGAAGGAAAGTCTGAGAAATTGAGAATCCAATCGGCAACAAGTTCATTTTTGGCACTCTGGCGAGATCGTGAAGGAGGAGGTGCTGAGCGCCGAAGAGCTACACGAAACGATACTTTATAAAATACTTTATATTCTATGCTTTATATCTAGGATGTAAGTTCTACCAGTACCAAATTTATAGCTATCCTATAAAATATTATCTTAGAAATGTACTGCTGTTAATTGATCCTCAGTCCTTTCATAATAAAAACAATAATTTGTTAGAAACAAATTCGAACTAAACTTAAGGTTCATGTACAAGGCTGATACCCAAATTTAACCCACCGGTCTAAATCGAGGATCAACCAAGATTGGTCCAAGTCTGGCAACCACGCTCGATCGAACCCTCCCAGTCAGGCTTGGCCCAAGCTTGGCGTTCGAGCTTGGATTAAGCTTGACGTACGAGATTGAACCGAGTTCGGTGGCCAAGCTTGAATTAGCGTTACAAATCGAGGACTTATCAAACTAGATCCAAGCTTGGCGTCCAGGTTCGAACCGAGCTAGATTAGTCTTGGTCCAAGCTTGGACCAGGGTTGGACCAATGGCAAATCCCCACCTGGGCTAATATTTTTTTGCGGACAACAATTGCCAGTGTCGATGTGTAGTATGTCCGTTTGTTCATAGGAGAATATGAAGCTTGTATATTTTTCGATAGTTGAACCGCAAAGTGGTCATTTCCGTGACAGATATCACCAAAATGACCATCAGTTCTCAATGAGTATTTCGATAGATTACCGACAAAAACCAGAAAATATTAAATAATAGTCGACTGGATACCCTGCACGAAGATTCGGATTTCATGAACAATGTTATTAAGATTTTGCAATTTCCATCTGAATCTCGGATTATCAGATGACATCATTATTTCTTTCATGAGATTGGCATTCGTCAAGTGGCGTGTTCAAGTGTCCTATATTCAATTTTCCATACCAAACTACCCGACTGGTATTTTTTTGTCAATCGAACGATCAAGTGGCCACTTCGATGATACTGGTCAACAAAATGACCATTTTTCGTTCATGTATATATCAACAGTTTATTGAAAATGAGTAAATTCCGAGTCATTGTCGAATTGCCTCCCCCCCGCAATGTTCGGATTACATGAATAATATTTTTGGTCATTTTTAATTGCAGTATATGTTTTGAATAATCTCAACCCCACATTTTTTGCGGATATCAATTGCCGTTGTCGATGTGTAGCATGTGCGGTTGTTCATAGGAAAATATGCAGCTTGTAAATTTTTCGATAGTTGAAAGGCAAAGCGGTCAAAGTACGATCCGGTCATTATAGTGACCGTCATTGAAATAACTATTTTCATTTCAATCGGTTATTTTGATAACGTCACCTTACTCACCGTTTAGTATTGTCTGGTCACTTTGGCGACAGCTTCGGTCCGGCATAAATATATCTCAAAAACATTTCGGTGACAGTCATCAAAGTAACCACTCGTACCGAAAATAACCATGACTATAATGAGTGTCATCGAAATGAGCATTTGCCATTCAATCGGTTATTTCGATGACGTCACCATACTGACCGTCCAATATTTTCTGATCATTTTGGTGACAGGTCCGATCCGGCTATATGTATATCTCGAAAACATTTTGATGACAGTCATCAAACTTCTCGATCCATATGAAGGCATTTCGGTGACGGTCATCAAAGTGACCAGGTGTAGCCGAAATGACCATTATATCATAAAAATCGTCATCAAAGTGACCTTTATATTTATATATATATATATATTCCAAAGATAACACCTCATACGTAGACGATCTGACGCGCATAGCGCGCCATATACGCTAGTATTATAAAAGAGAAACAAAAAGAAAGAAAAGAACTAATTAGAAGTAATAATTAGTTAATCAAATATCTATATATATAAAAAGCGCACAAAGCGTGTTTATATATATTGTAACATATTATTTGATTTCGACCGTTCGATGGTCATTTTGATGTCCAGACGAGGAGTCACCGTGAACAAGAGTCGAAACTATGAAGTTTTGGTATCGAGTCATTGTCATCGCTTACCGATGAACAATTGCATCGAGGGACTTCGGAGGACAACGAGGGATTATATTCATGGATTTTTGGTGGTTCCAACAATTTTGAAAAAGGAACATAATTTGAAGGATGTCCTGTTCGCGCGCTGAGTCTTGGCGACTAGTAAGGACGATAGATGGCGCCATCGCATGGACCAGAAATTTGGAGGAGTTCGGTTGGAAGCTTTGGGAATTCCGAGCGAGAGAATTGTTGATGGATTTAACGAACTTGGAATGCAATGAATTAATTCAGCCAATGTATGTTTGTCATTGCTGAATTAATATTGTAATAAATGAAATATGCTGTTTTACCGATACCCGAGTGAAATATTATTTGGGTAAAATATTAATGAGTGTCACCAAACTTTGATAGAGGGCCAATCAATAAATCGATTATCGCCCATTGTTAGCCATTCTAATGATTGGTAACGGTATCTTAGACGATGCTGGACTTGGCGTCGTTCTATTGAATCACTCATCGTTTGGACATCACTTAAGGCAGTCATATTATTTGTGAAATCTAGTTCGGTATATCGAGGAGGAAAGAAAATTGATTTTGGAGAAGTCCCACTAATCGTTCAAGGCCGGTTTCTTTTATTGGAAAGCTCTAACGGCCGGATAATTGGAAAATTGGAATTATAGCATCATTAACGATGCTTGAGTAATTTGTTTTCAATTTAGAGGTGACTTACAAGGTCAACGGATATTACAGGAATTTAGTAACTCAAAGTAATTTTAGTTTATCGTTTTTTCATTTTGGGAATTATTACCACTTGTTTGCATTAACTTTGGGAAAATTGATTGAATTCCTTTATCTCAGATTTTCTTTTACTCATGTTATTGACTTCATCATCTCTTTGATATAATATTGTATCATTGATTCAAGAATTGGATATTGTGATTTAATTTAATGAATAATTTTTATAATTCCTTACAAATATTTAATCTTGTATCTTGACTTTGTTTTATTAGTTTGATGTTTAGGGATTAGTGATTAGGGATTTTAAATTATATCGAGTCTTTCGACTTTAAAATCTGTAGATTAAAAATTATAGAAAATTTATCAAAAATTATTAATTGGTTTATGGATGTTATCGTCTCAATCGAATTGAGGGACGAATAAATAGTCTTATTAAATGAGTCTGGTAATATTTTTTTTTCATTTTAGAAAAACCCAATCATTTCAGAGTTGTCTTTTGAAGCAGGATTACTGAACCCAGCCGCCTCCGCGGTTGATACTGAGTTGCCAGTTACTGTTCCTGTTGTTATTTGATATGAATGGTTTTTGTGCATTTTTAAGAGAAAATGTACTGGGACCTGACTTAAATTTAATTAGTTCGATTGCAGAGGGCTTCGTATTTCTTTTCCTTTCCACGAGGAAGCGAAATACGTCACAATATATATATAAATATATATTCATATTAACTAAAAAAAAACAAAAGAAACAGAAGAGAGACTAAAGATTAAATTGAAAAATCAAATCAAATAAATTGGGATACTTACAATGCCAAATTCCAACCAAACAAAAAACACTAGCTTCTAAAATTGTTTTTAGTCTCAACACTTTAAAATCACAAATCACAAAATTTGTCACTCAAAAAGTCACGAACACAGAATAGAATAGTGAATATTTATAAATAATATAAAACCACAACCGAACAACGCGACAGTCAAAGGAAGTTTGAAATTCCTGAATTTGCAACTTCAAACATTCCAAGCCGCCTTGTAACTGCCATAAAGTATAAAGGCAGATCGGCTAAAGCCGCGCGGGCCGAGCGCCGCAATCAGGCTGTAGTACCTAGCGCCGACCGGTAAATGGCGGAAGAAGGAAGGGGATGTCACACGGGTGGTAAAACAGAACCACCCCAGCCTAAATTTTCCACAATTCATAAATATTAACGACCCAGAACCGCAGAACGCAATCACTCTCCCGTTAGGGGGTGTGATAACCATAAATTCTTTGAAAATTCAAGCCACTTTCAACATTTAAAAAAAATTTCCGACGCATTAGATTTCGAAATTGTTTTTCGACATTTCCGACATCACTCTGAATGACTCGGGCTACTTGAAAACCGAGAAAATACAATGGAAAAGTAGAACATTAATCAGCGAAAATTCGAGCGTGTTGCAAAATATCACACCTCGAATTTTCGCCATCAACCAGTCCCACTGAATCAGCTAACGCCCCAAATTCAAACTAAAAAATCGAATTATCAACAATTAATCTCCAGCCGCGGAAAAATCGTAGAACCCTACGGTTCTCTTTCTTTGGAGATTTAAAATTCAAGTCATATCAATCTTTTAAATCCGACTAGCGCCACGGCACCGATAAAACAGTATCTTTTTGAATTACGGCAGTTAGCTAAATCATCTTCCCCATAACATCGATATTTCTCGTTAAATTGATCGTCTCCTGAGATCCGTAGATTTGTAACATTCAAGAATTTTCTTCTTTGTCACATTTAAAATCATCGAGAGCTTCCGCGGCTGCAAGGGCTCTTTTTGAAATAAGTTTAAAGTGTGACTTCTCTTTTCTTTCCGAATCTGAAACGCAGATTTTGGAAATTCCGTCGGTTTTAAAAATAATAAAACCGGTCGTGTGTGTTACTACTTAGTGAGGCCGAAAAACATTGAAGCCCACTGTATTCTTCATCAAATTCCGACGCCCAGAGGACGAAGAACAGCACGTCTGGTTAAGTAAAAATTGTAACCAAACGAGAAACAACTGTAAGTAACTTTAAATACTATTTTGTAAATTTCATTTTCATCATTTGAACTTTGAATTATAGAGAATCAAAAAAAAGATGACTCAGAATTGTCAACAATCACATTTTATAAACAGGAATATTGATCTTAAGTTGTACAAAAATCGGCATAAATAAACATTCTGAATAGACATGGAAAATCTGGTTTAAAAAGTAAGAAGTACCCTTCTTTTCCAGAAATTTTAGGTAATTCTTTCAGAAATAAAAGGAATATAAAGACTATTCGCACCTACGAGGAAAAACTTCGATCAAATATTCGGGAACGAGTCCATGAGCAACACTCCGACTCAAATTATTTTTATCATCGTTAATTCGGAGGCATTATTATTTTTAACAATAAATAACGTGGTTTCCCGACCACTAATCCCGGACATAACAGCATAAAAATCACTAGTTCACTATCACGTATGATGGCCATCAATGGCAATTGTTTAATGATGATGCTCCAATTGTCGGGATTACGGAGATGCATTTAAACTCTATCTTAACCAACGGCCAGTCTAACCTGCCGGATTTAAACGGAAATATATCTTGAAAAATATCTCATTTTTCTTGAATAAGAGTTTGTTACGGATGTTTATCCACTTGAAATCCGTGGATTATAATTATGTTAAGATGAACAATTGATTTTATAAAGCATGTATCATTTTTCTACTTTTTCGGAAAAAATTTATCTTACTTTTCTGTAATTATGTAAAGTGGCCACAAGTTCCGCCGGTTTAAAGTCTCTGACTTTTCTAAGTTTTCGATGCTCGATTTTTTCTTTTTCCAGACGATTTTCATTTCTTTGATTAAAGTAATTTTTTTTTTACAAATGTAATTTTCGGTTCCCTCAGCATGTTTTGACGTGTTACTTCTAGAACTTCGTTCAAAAGACTACTGGTTACAATTAAATATTACTTTTATATTATTATTTCGTGTCGTCTTGTCTTCAATCTTTAGTTCAATTTAACGGACTTCTCATCCTTAAATTTTACCACTCAGTTTTTACAGTTTTAGAGTTCCATTTTCAATTTTTTTTTCTCTCTTCGTATGTCAATGCGGTTTACCTCAAAATCAGAATAAAATCCCGCAGTATACCTATAGAATTAAAGCTTTCAAAGTCTGGTATTATGACCACAAGTGGCGCGGAGACTAGTTTTCGTTTCTCTTTGTACTCCAGTAAGCGAAATGTGCATTGATTTTTTGGAAGTGTACCAAGTTATAGGAAAAATTTCAAGATGAATACATTTCCGTTTTTAAAAATAGATTTAATTGCAATAAAAACATTAATATGTATATTTGACAATGGCATATTCACAAATGAGAATTTGTTTCTTATTGCTAAATATTTTTCATAAAATTGGAATATTTTTTGGTGTGTTTTTTTTTCAATTATCTTCAAAATCCACAGAGATCCGCAATTTTTGGGCTAAACCTTTTTTGTAGCCCTGATTTAGACCTACAATAAAGGTTTGTTTAAAGTAGAGAGAACAAATGCCCCCCAACTCAACAAGTGATCGATGAATTTCGGACACTTCCGGAGTTCATCGGATCGTTTGCCCGAGGATCAGCAACCAACTTGGGAGCGGGGAGCGCCCCCCCCCCCTCCACCCCTAAATTTATTCGTACAGTCAACGTCTTAGAATACGCATCTCAACTTTTCTGTGACAATTTAACGGCTAACAACCCTCAACGTTTTCCCGCGAGCGTACTTAACCGACGCGCAACTTATTTCTCGCATAATCAACAATAATTTAATGTTTAACACCGTTATTTCAACGTGAACTTACACCCAATCAACGTTAACTCACCAATTCTTGTATATATTTTGTATATTTGAGACAAGCGACAATTAAACGCCTAGTGTTTTATATCTCGGGTTTAACCGATCTTTTCTCCTCATCCCGATACACCGTTTCCAATTTTCCGACGCCCGACCACCCAAAAATCAACGTCCCTCATTAAACATTGGTCCTTCGAGCCGGATTGGTGCGCGAAAAAACCGTGAAAAATTATGAATGTGTCGTGCAAATGCAACGGCCAACGAAAGGGACCTCAAACCCTGTCATAAACTCAATGGCCTTCTCGAAACATCAGTAACCTTCAACGGACACCTAACGCGCGAACAATTGATATTTATTGACCTCGCGCTGTTTTTTTAACTTCCTGTTCTATAGGAAGTTATTGTAATGACCCCGAAAATAAATATGGAAATTTTCAACATATCTTCACGTTTCAAGGCCTCCGGAGTAATCCTGGACCATTTTCGAGAGGATGTGTGTGTGTGTGTGTGCGTGCGTATGTCACTGGCGATGTATGTGGCCGAAATTTATCGTCAACGATTTCTCAAAAATGGATCATGCGATCGAAGTCAAATTGATACCATCGAAGCGTTTTCACGCCATTTGGTGCTGATTAGATTATAGAAGGAATTGTTCAAGCCGTTTTCCAGTTTTTCCAGAAAAACTGCGAAAACGGAAATTTCATCAACGATTTCTTGTCCGAAATTTATCGTCAACGATTTCTCAAAAATGGATGATGTGATTGAAGTCAAACTGATACCATCGAAGCGTTTCCACGCCATTTGGTGCTGATTAGATTATAGATGGAATTGCTCCAGCCATTTTCCAGTTTTTCCAGAAAAACTGCGAAAAAGGAAATTTCATCAACGATTTCTTGTCCGAAATTTATCGTCAACGATTTCTCAAAAATGGATGATGCGATCGAAGTGAAACTGATACCATCGAAGCGTTTCCATGCCATTTGGTGCTGATTAGATTATAGATGGAATTGCTCCAGCCGTTTTCCAGTTTTTCCAGAAACAAATTTGAGAGAAAAAATTTCTTCAGCGATTTCTCGTGCATGAAAGATGCGTTCGAGATTTAATATAGTGTAATCGAAGCGTCATGACGACATTCAGCACTGATCAAATTATGGATAGAATCGCTCTAGTGTTGTTCTCCAGTTTTTCCAGAAAATCAGGGAAATATAATTTTCCTAACATTTTCTCGCGAAGGGATGATGCGATCGAGATCCAATGGAACGCAATCGAAGTCTCCTAATGCGATTGCGCGCTAATTATGTTGTACACGAAATAGCTCCATTCATTCTCCAAAAAAGCGTTATGGATTTTGAGGGGTATAAAAATTATTATAAGACAGGAGAATCATTATAGAACAGGAAGTTATTGGTTCGACCCGTTAAACGGTTTACACCCGCATGAATGCATTCGCCAGCAAGCCACCCACAACTACGCACCCCACTTCGGGAGCGAGCGAAGCGAGCGACCAACAACGCGACTACTAGTTTTCAATTATCTTTAAAATCCGCAGAGATACGCCGTTTTTGTATTGAACCTTGTTTAATGAAGGACGTTGATTTTTGGATGGTCGGGCGTCGGAAAATTACAAAAGGTGTGTCGGGATGAGGAGAAAAGATCGGTTAAACCCGAGATATAGAACAGTAGGCGTTTAATTGTCACTTATCTCAAATATACAAAATATATACAAGAATTGTTCAGTTAACGTTGATTGGGTCTAAGTTCACGTTGAAATAACGGTGTTAAACTTTAAATTATAGTTGATTATGCGAGAAATAAGTTGCGTGTCAGTTAAGTACGCTCGCGGGAAAACGTTGAGGGTTGTTAGCCGTTAAATTGTCACAGAAAAGTTGAAATGCGTATTCTAAGACGTTGACTGTACGAATGAATTTAGGGGGGGACACAAGTTGGTTGCTGACCCTCGGGCCAACGATCTGATGAACCCCGGAAGTGTCCGAAATTCATCGACTAATTGTCGTTGGGTTGGGGGGCGTTTTTTCATCTCTACTTTAAACATCCCGCCCGCATTCATCACTTGAGATGAATCCTCGTTGTTCAATCACTTGGGTTGTCGTCTAGCTGGTCTGCCTTGATTTCTGCTGGTTGATCTGCTGGTGGTGGATCCGTTGGCAGCAAGCAGAGTTTAGTGATCGGTCTTGTGAAGGTGAGTCGTTGAACTCGAGCATTCTGTGGCTCTGGCTCTCCCTTACGATTCGTTGAGATCTCTGCTCGTACTGTTGTTAATTCGGCCACTCTGACGAGCCCATCAGCCCCTGGCCTTACAGCAGTAACTCTTGCCAGAGGCCAATGTGCTGGAGGTTGATCATCGTCGATCATCAAGACCATGTTTCCTTCTTTGATTTTCTGTTGACGTTGATTCCATTTGTACATTGAATGATACCGTTGCACACACTCCCTGGCCCATCTGGACCAGAATTTTTGGGTTTTTTGAGTCAACAGATTCCATCGGGTGATTTTCGTTTGGCGTCGACTTGAGATGGCTCCGGGACTAGTTGAAGAGGCTCTCCGATGAGGAAGTGCCCTCGCGTTAGTGCCTGAGGGTGATCAGGGCCATCCGTCATCGGGACAATCGGCCTCTGAGCTGAGCTGAGACAGGCCTCGATTCGATTCCTCGATTCATTCCTTGATTCTCCGAGCGCTGCAGTTGATGTGCGAAGTGGTAATCGCACAATGTAACGCCCAGTTCCATCTCGTTAATGAGTGCGTCTGAAATGCTCTTCACACTCTCGTTCCTCTGGTGGGAGCTCGTTGGTTGCGTCTTTTGCAGTTGGTAGTTCCTCCTGGACCCAGAATTTCTGTAGAAGCTGCGTTAATTGTTCGTTGGAGGATCCCCTTGCCGCGGATAAGGAAACCTTCCTTGAACAATCGATGTTGCATAATGGACCGAATATGATCCATCCGAACGTTGTTAGTTGTCCAACTAATTGTTCGTCGTTGGATTTCTTGACTTCATAACCGATGATTTTCCCATAGTTGTCAGCTCCGATAATTATGTTGATGGGTCCAGGCGTTGAATAATTCTCACCTGCGAGTTGAAGCTGCTGCAGTGATCCGATGGATGCAGATGAGCAAGAAAACGTTGGCAATCGTGTCGTTAATTTTTGTAATACGTGGACGTTGATCTTAACACGATGAAATGGCGCTTTCGTCGATTGGAGAGTGATGGTCACAATCCCTCTCGTTTTGCATGCGTGCTTTCCACCAATTCCAATGAGTTCAATTGAGTGTCGGCGTTGCACTTGTAGTTGACGGTCCAAGCTTTCCGAAATAAATGTAAGCTTTGATCCTTGGTCGATGAGGATTCTCGCGATGGTGTGGTATCCGCTGTTAGAGACTGCCCTGGCTTGTGCCGTAGCCAAGAGTACTAGTCGATTGTCCGTTGATTCGTCTGACTGATCATTTTCCCTGACGTTGATTGGCTGCGTTGTTTCTCGAGGCGTTGATTTTTCGTTGATGATGATGCTTGTTGATTTGTTATGTCCTGAGGAGGGTACATGGGGGATCAGTGTTCTGAGTGATGAATGATAATCATGAATTAAATCAAACACTCGAACCTGATTCCTCCCTCGTTGACTGTGCCTCTGGAGCGTTGTTTGTTGCGTTGATGTGTCTACCCTTTCCTTGTGATCCAGCTGTAGCAGTGTGTGGCGAGGTTGCGGGCATCTGAAGCACGACTTGGTGCACTTGCACTTAGCCACTGAGTGTGTGCCGAAGCAGGTGAAACACAGGCGCATTCCGGTGATGACCTCCAGTGTACTTTTCGGCGAGAGGCGTTGAAAGTCCTGACACTTTCCTATGAAGTGCTTGGCCTTGCAATAGGCACAGCAATGAGCAGGTCTCGCTGGTTGATTGTCGTTTGGTTCGGGTGTCGACTCAGCCACATGGTATGCACGTGCTCGTTGCGTTGGTTTCCTTTGTGGCGTTGATTTTGGCCTTCATCCCCGTTGACTCTTGTTGATCGTCTGGAGTCATGCCTCTGGCGGTTGACTGCAGGAAGTTGACGAGCTCTTGCAAGGGTACAAAATTCGTTGAAGCCCCAATTTTCGCTCCCATGTGGTGCGTATGTCCACCTCCATGGAGCGTTTGAGCAGGTGGAAGACAAACTGCTCACCCAAATCTCCCTTGGCCATCGTTTGCAGGTTGAGCACTTTGTTGAACAGGTGCCCTGCGATGAGACGTGGATTCTCATAATGCCGTTGCAGCTTCTCCCACGCCTTCGCGTAATTGGCATCTGTAGCTGTGAACGATGAAATGTGCTCAGCTGGAGGTCCCTGGAGGGCTTCCTTTAGCCTCACCAGTTTTTCAGCTGGTAACATGTCTTGTTGCCTTCCCACCAGATTCTGGAACAGGTCTGAAAATTTCTTCCACTGCGAGAATTTTGCCTTGAATGTTGGCAAGTCAATGCGTTTTAGTTGGGTGTTCGTTGGGCGTTCCGTTGATGAAAATGTGATCGGAGGGCAAGTTGCGAATGATTGTCCGGGATTGTCCGGATTATCAAAATCCACCCAGGCCTCCTGACCGTTGAGCTCTTCCATGGTTGTGCCTGAGGCTGTCATGCGCATCATCTCATCGTAGATGCCGTGGAATTCCAGCTGTTTATCCTCCAGAAACTGAATTTGATTGAGTGTTGCTGGGGATAAATTCGTTCAGGTGATGATTGAGAGGCTGGGATCTCCGACAGTCTCGTTTTGATTTCGTTGAGGGCAGGTTGCGGTGGGTCTTCCACGGCATTTGCCCATTCTTCTCGTTCAGTTGGGACTGGTGGTTGATTTTCAGGAGAGTTAATGATGATTGAAGGTATATCATTGACCTGGACGTTGGGCTCGTTGAGTTGCGTTGTTGTTTGCTCTGCTGAGTCTGACATGATGGTAACTGGAGTGCTCGGTGCGTTACCGACCGTTGAGCTAGGCGCGCGCTGCGGCTCCACCTGTTGAGTGTTGTCCCGAGCGTTGGGGACTGCTGTGACGTCGTTGCGCGAGGATAGTCGAACACTCCCGAACTTTCGCACGCGCAGTCGACGAAACTTCAGACACTCGAAAAACGTAAACAAACGAAAACAAATGCGCGAGGTCAATAAATATCTATTGTTCGCGCGTCAGGTGTCCGTTGAAGGTTACTGATGTTTCGAGAAGGCCATTGAGTTTATGACAGGGTTTGAGGTCCCTTTCGTTGGCCGTTGCATTTGCACGACACATTCATAATTTTTCACGGTTTTTTCGCGCACCAATCCGGCTCGAAGGACTAATGTTTAATGAGGGACGTTGATTTTTGGGTGGTCGGGCGTCGGAAAATTGGAAACGGTGTATCGGGATGAGGAGAAAAGATCGGTTAAACCCGAGATATAAAACACTAGGCGTTTAATTGTCGCTTGTCTCAAATATACAAAATATATACAAGAATTGGTGAGTTAACGGTGATTGGGTGTAAGTTCACGTTGAAATAACGGTGTTAAACATTAAATTATTGTTGATTATGCGAGAAATAAGTTGCGCGTCGGTTAAGTACGCTCGCGGGAAAACGTTGAGGGTTGTTAGCCGTTAAATTGTCACAGAAAAGTTGAGATGCGTATTCTAAGACGTTGACTGTACGAATAAATTTAGGGGTGGAGGGGGGGGGGGCGCTCCCCGCTCCCAAGTTGGTTGCTGATCCTCGGGCAAACGATCCGATGAACTCCGGAAGTGTCCGAAATTCATCGATCACTTGTTGAGTTGGGGGGCATTTGTTCTCTCTACTTTAAACAAACCTTTATTGTAGGTCTAAATCAGGGCTACAAAAAAGGTTTAGCCCAAAAATGGCGGATCTCTGTGGATTTTGAAGATCATTGAAAAAAAAACACACCAAAAAATATTCCAATTTTATGAAAAATATTTAGCAATAAGAAACAAATTCTCATTTGTGAATATGCCATTGTCAAATATACATATTAATGTTTTTATTGCAATTGAATATATTTTTAAAAACGGAAATGCATTCATCTTGAAATTTTTCCTGTAACTTGTTACTCTTCCAAAAAATCTTGCACATTTCGCTTACTGGTGTCTTGGTACAAAGAGAAAACAAAACTAGTCTCCGCGCCACTTGTGGTCATAATACCAGACTTTGAGAGCTTTAATCATATAGGTATACTGCGGGATTTTATTCTGATTTTGAGGTAAACCCCATTGACATACGAATAGAGGAAAAAAAATGAAAATGGAACGGTAAAACTGTAAAAACTGAATTGTAAAATTTAAGGATGAGAAGTAGAAGGGATATGTCGGTTTAATTGTAATAAAGATTGAAGACAAGACGACACGAAATAATAATATCAAAGTAATATTTAATTGTAGCAAGTACTCTTTTGAACGAAGTTCTAGCAGTAACATGTCAAAACATGCTAAGAGAACAGAAAATTACATTTGTAAAAAAAAATTACTTTAATAAAAAAAAAAATCGTCTGGAAAAAGAGAAAATCAGGCATGGAAAATTTAGGAAAGTCAGAGACTTTAAATCGGCGGAACTTGTGTCCACTTTGTATTATTACATGCATAATTACAGAAAAGTAAGATAAATTTTTTCCGAAAAAGTAGAAATGATACATGCTGCATAAAATGAATTGTTCATCTTAACATAATTATTATCCACGGATTTCTAGTATGAAAAATATTCATAAAAATGAAATTGGTATTTCTTCTCAAATTTTTCTTCAAAGTGATAACTTACGTGCGTCTCTATGATAGTGTGGTTGATGAGTAGTATTGTCAGCGAACAATACCGCTGATAAGATTCAATTTCTGCATACGAAGGGTGGTCTCATGCCTGAGATTGTTAAGCTGCGTATCCGAGATCGGCGATGAATGTGTGACTGACGCCGGTTGAGCAACTGCATCGCGATCCTGGACCATTGTTTCTACAGCCCAACTCAACTCATAAGAGGCGGCGGAGATGAGATCACGATCCGGATTTATTCGCTGTGGTTTGGTTTGTGTGTAACCTCAAAATAATTCAAGGGCGTCGGTATAATTTTGCAATCTTGGCAATACTGGAAAAATGAAAAAAAAATCTAATTAGAAAACTGTACATTGTAATAGCATATTTATTATTCATACTTATTCGTTGTGTTGATTGATGTTTTAAATGATCACAGGAGCGAACTAAAAAAAACTAAAAAAATGAACGACGCGACCGAAGTAGTAAGTGGCCAGTATTGGGGAATTTCCCACGCCCCCACCCCCCTTCTTTCCAGGAAATGGACGTGCAGGTGCAGGTGGGCCCCCCAGGGGGTATTGTGTGGATGTGCGTCTGGACACGTTCACCCCCTTTGTCCACTGACAAAGGGAAATTGACTTTAAATTGTGGATGCGCCCGCCTTTGTTATAATTTCCTTAAATGTTGCGTAATTTTGGTCAATAGACTTCCGGTCTAAGCGTGATCCCTGGTTTTTCCTTAAGGATTACATAAGTACAATAGACATCCGGGGGAAATGGGGTGGGTGGGAAAGGGTGGAGGTTTTGTAAATTATTAACACGAGAATTATGAATGACTTTTTTTCTTTAATTGATTAGAAAATGATGAGCTACAGTTTTTACAGTGCAACATATTTAAAAGTATACACGCATATAAAATTATAATATTATCGTTATCTTAGGTATAATTTTCTAGTATGAGGGCATTCGGTATGGTCGTCCGGTGAAACCATCTAGCTCGTCATAACATAAATGATACAGCTCGCCAAATAATTGATATAAATATCCCAAATTGGCATCAGGGTTTGAGCGCTGAAGGTCATCTCTGGCCAGCAGATATATCTCCTCGAAATTATTTCCGATGCGATGGTGCAGTTCTTCAGTAACAGGCATTCTATTGTAGGCCATGTAACCCATTCTAACACGTGTAATGCCCTTGACAAGAGACTCCTTGTATTCTCTCAAAGGTAATGAATCCAAGAAATCCAGCCACTGGGTGATCCATACAGCTTTGGTTTTTAATGTTTCAATACTAGGTTTCATCATAATGAGAAGATTTTTTTCCCCGTCACGTACGAAGGTCGCACAGAGTTTTTCAAAACTCTGGTGGAATTTCACTGTCAGCCCCCCAAATTGCTTTGCAGGTACATTGTGGATGGCGTTTGGGTGAAACTTCGTTGTATCAAAATACTCCGTAATTGAAGTCATGTCCTTGTACAGTAGACCCCATTCATCCCGTGACATTGAAATCGTTGAACGGTTCGGACGCACCCCCATAAATTGCACCACCGGAAGGAACTCTCCGACACAGGTCACTTCAAGACCGACACGTATCTGTTTAGT